TTTTTTTCAAGTTACTGAAGCTATAATCTTTGTTTTTCCTGTTTTGTTCCCCCCCTTTTAATTTGAAATTTTTGAACCCACAGAAAAGCTAGAAGAAAGCATGAAGAACACTAACATACCCAATTCACCAATAGGACATTCTCTTACATAACCATAATGCCATTCATACTCCCAAGACACTTAACACTGAGGCACTAGTGTTATCTAATAGAAATTCCATGTTTAAATTTCCCCAATTGTACCAGTAATCTTTCATGATATGGACAATTTTGAAGAGCCAAGGGTACTGCTTTGTAAAATGTCCCAGTAATCTGAGTTTGATTGTTTCCTTGTGATTAGATTCAAGCTACACATTTTTCCTAAAAACGATACACAGGTGATTGTGTATACTTCCATTGCATCTTATCAGGAAGCCGTGAGGTCAGTTTGTCCTCAGTTTGGTGTTGGTGATGTAAAGTTTGACCACTTGGTTGAAATGGTGATTTAACCTTTACTTTGGTTAAGTTATTTTCCATTGTAAAGGTATCTGCTGTGCTTTAATCAGTTGCTGCATTGAGGTTAGAAGAGTATTAATTTTCTAATTTTTTCATTCCTTCTGTATATATCAGATGGAATCCTCAGTATGGAACCCAGGTGTTTTTTAAAAATTTTATTGAAATATAGCTGATTTACAATGTTATGTTAATTTCTGCTATATAGCAAAGTGATTCAGTTTTATATATATATATTTTTTCCATTATAGTTTATCAGAGGATATTGAATATAGTTCCCTGTGCTATACAGTAGGGCCTTGTTATTTGCACATACAGTATATAATAGTTTACATCTGCTAATTCCCAAGCTTCCAAATCTTTCCCTCCTCCATCCCCTCCTTGACAATTACAAGTCTGTTCTTTATGTCTTTGTGTCTATTTCTGTTTCATAGATATATTCACTTATATTTGAGATTTCACATATAAGTGACATCATATGGTATTTGTCTTTCTCTTTCCCACTTACTTCACTTAGTATGATAATCTCTAGGTCCACACATGTTGCTGCAAATGGCATTACTTCATTCTTCTTTATAGCTGAGTAATATTCCATTGTATATGTGTACCACATCTTCTTTATCCATTCATCTGTCATTATTTGTTTCCAAGCCTTGGCTATTGTAAATAGTGCTGCTATGCCCATAGTGGTGCATGTGCCTTTTCAAATTATAGTTTATTCTGAGTATAAGGCCAGGAATGGGATTACTGGATCATACGACAACTCTATTTTTAGTCTTTTGGAGGAACCTCCATACTGTTTTCCATAGTAGCTGCACTAATTCACATTCCTACCAACAGCGAAAGAAGGTGGAACCCAGGTCTTTCTGATGCTAAAGGCCATGCTATTTCTGCTATTGGAGGTACCTCTCAGATGTGTTAAAAAATGAAGCTGGTCACCTGAAGCTGTAAAGGTCCGTCTAGTCAAGGCTATGGTTTTTCCAGTGGTCATGTATGGATGTGAGAGTTAGACTATAAAGAAAACTGAGCGCCGAAGAATTGATGCTTTTGAACTGTGGTGTTGGAGAAGACTCTTGAGAGTCCCTTGGACTGCAAGGAGATCCAACCAGTCCATCCTAAAGGAGATCAGTCCTGGGTGTTCATTGGTGGGACTGATGTTGAAGCTGAAACTCCAATACTTTGGTCACCTGATGCAAAGAGCTGACTCATTTGAGAACACCCTGATGCTGGGAAAAATTGAGGGCAGGAGGAGAAGGGGATGACAGAGGATGAGATGGTTGGATGGCATCACTGACTCAATGGACATGGGTTTGGGTGAACTCCGGGAGTTACTGATGGACAGGGAGGCCTGGCATGCTGTGGTTCATGGGGTTGCAAAGAGTTGGACATAACTGCACGACTGAACTGAACTGAACTGAACCTGAAGCTGCTGGGGAAATAAAACATTTTCTCTCCATCTCTTGTTTAGAGCTCCATTTTCTTTCATCTTGGCAAAATGGACCCCTTCTGCCGCTTTGAAATATACTTAAAAAAAAAAACGCATGACTTGAACACACACAAAGCTATTACTTCTCATATGTGAAGGAATGTACCTAGAGAGGTGGAATATGTCCTAATCATCCTCTCTTTCTCAGCACCACTGATATTATCCCATCTCTTTAGGGTTCCAGGTTTTATATTTCCTTTCCTTTCTTTCTCCTTTTTTTTTTTTTTTTGGCAGGGAGTGGATGGGTGAGAGCTGGAATCAAAACATCAATTCATTTGGGAGCTTTTATTTTTCTAGCAGCAAAATTGGATTGAAGAGTTTGGTGGAATATTTATCATTCTTCCCCGAGCCACAACAGTGAAGGGGAAGGAAGGCTCAGCAAAGCAGTCTCCAAAGACCTTGACAAACACCATCTCCACCAGGGACTACAGACCCGCCTTGTAGTAAGTTATTGCCAGACGGAAGGGAAGGGCCCTGGTGGGGCAGCGGCCCTGTGAGCCTTGCTGGCTGCCAGACCCTGGGAACAGGAGATATGGCCAGTCTGAGAGGAAGCGCAGGCCAGGAGCAGAATTACACTTCTCTTCTTTCCCGATAGCTGCCATCCCTCTACGTCTTCTTGCTTTCATGAAATCAGTGTGGAAAGATTTCCTCGATCAGGAAAATCACACAGAGAAATCCTTAGTTCTTCTGCCCCTTCTCTTTGTTGCAGAAAGTGGTGACGACTTTTCTAATCACTAATAAGTTCAGGGTTACAGGTCACAATGGCAGAGTCAGGGTTAGCCTATCAGCGTCACACACCCTGAAAAAGCCCCCCTACCCCCAGACTGAAACAAAAGCTATTCCTTTTGTTTGCCATCTTTGTACTGTTTAACATGAGTGTTTCAACAGTCTTTATTTTCCAAACATGCAAACGGGAGAGAGTGATCTGACCCACAGTACATTGACATACCATGTAGCTATAACCTTGAGATAAAAAGTAAAGGAAAAAGTCAAAACAATTCAAACCAAACAAGTTTTTCTTCAGTCCAGACCCCTTGCCTCTGTAACAGGGGAACACGCTGACATTAGCACGCACTGGCTGTGGCAAGGAGGCAGGCCCATGGGACCCCAATTGCATAGCTGGGAAGTCGAATGTGTTCATTAATTAATTTAACAAGTGTGTCCTAAGTATCTACCCTGTGCTAGACGTGATGCTAGGTGTTGGCAATATCTTATACACCAAGGGGATTTATAAGACTTACAAGGCCTCTGAGCACATGGAACTTATCTAGTGGCATTGGTGGAGGGGGGTGGGGATTAAAGACTACACTCACAGTGTTGAGAGGAGATGGAAAATAACTGCTATAGTGGAAAGTCTGAGCTGGTTTTCTGAATTCTATCTGTCTAGGAATGCAACTTCTTCAAAATCTGGGTCACACAGTGGGATGGAGATTAAGACAGAAAAAGGGAGAGAATCAGAGAGAAGCTTCTCTCCTCGGCTGTTCCCGCGAGCATCCTTTGGGAGCTTTTCCAAGCTGTCAGGAAGGGTCAGATATAGTGTCTGTAAGATGACAGATAAGAGAAACAATGAAAACTATGCCTTTGTCCCTTACTTCTGAAAGAACTCCAAAGATGGAACATTCTGACGAAATAACAGGCATCTTCTCAAGCATCTTTGCTATTCGGAGGTCAGTGCTATGGAGGAGGGCACGGCAACCCACTGCAGTATTCTTGCCTGGAGAACCCCATGGTCAGAGGAGCCTGGTGGGCTACAGTCCATGGGGTCACAAAGAGTCGGACGTGACTGAATGAGCGCACATGCTCAGTGCTAAGCATTTTACCTGTATTGGCTCATTTAATCCTCACAATCATCACCTAGTAAGATAAACGCTCATTTTGTTCCCATTTCCCACATGAAAAAACAGTCCTAGAAAATCTAAGCGACTTGCCCTGGCCTAAGGACGCATCCCTGGTAGAGAGTGGAACTAGGACAGGATCCTAGCTGCCTGACTCCAAAAGCCTTGTTCTAAACCACAGTCTTTCCATCAACAAAATTATTTTCCTCATTGTATTTAAGGAAAAAGAGAAAAGGTACTAGCATTGCATAGGCTATTTAATCACAAATCTTCTGAAAAAGGTCTGTGTTTTCCAGATGTTATCTTGAAAGAGATGGTCAAACCTGTCCTTTGAATCAAAAGCAAATACTTTCTTACAACGCATGAGACATTAAGAGATGAACTTTTGCGATTGCTTAAATAGCCATGAGCCCATCATCTAAATTTTGAATTATAATTCGTGAATGGAGATCAGTAATTCAACCAACTAATGAATTACTCCTCAAAGTTTATTTTATAACTGCATACATTTCCATCTTTGCCCTTTACTTGATAATTGAATTAACAATAAATAAACTAAGGTTTAGTGAAAACAATGTAGAAGTCCCTAATGAAGCTTATGCCTGTTGGGGGATAAATTCATATCAAAAATTCAAAAATAATATAATAAAACTGAACTTTGAAGGGGTGGAGTGATCTTTCTTTTGCTTTAAATCATTTAAATTAAATGTAATGAAAAGTGATCAGAGTGCTTATTTTTACTTTGTTTTGTGGGAAATTGTGCTGGGAAAGTGGATCTATTGTGCACAAAGGATGTTGGCTTTCTGCTGCAACCACCAGGCAGGTTGAGTTGAGAAACAATTAGCTCAGTCAGCAAGCCTTTGAATCTGATTAAGCCAGGAAGTGGTCACTCCCCACGACAGGGCAGAATGAAGGGAATGAAGGCGGTGGCCCAAAACAAGGAATGATCTCTCTGTCCCTGTCTGAAGTATTAGACTTTACTGTGTCAAATTTATGTCGAGGATTATTTCACTCCATTTTGTTATTATTTCACTAAAAACAAATATAATCTTGTTTCCAAGTGGATCAACAGTCCACATGTGTCATGGCTACTGTCTCTTAGAAACTTCTGTTTATCGAGCCCTGACATACTCTCATGTTTTGGTAACGAGATGTCTTTGAGACCCAGAACCCAAGTCACAGAGGAAAATGCAGCATTTATACCAGTCTGCTGGCTGGATTCTCATCACTCTGGGGGTTCTCAGTGTATTCTCTGGAGTTATTGCTTTCTTCCCAGTCTTTTCCTGCAAGTTTTGGTTCACAGGATGGAGTGTCTGGATTGCTTGTCCCATCTGGAATGGAGTTTTGGTAGGAAAATATTTAATATTAATGTTTTTATTACATATGTTGAGAGAATAAAGGAAAGAGGGACGAGAATGATACGTCTTTTAAAGTTTTTCAGCAACATGAAGACATAAAAATTCTACAGAAAATCAGATTGTACCTTAGAACATTGATTTCTATTAGATATCTTTTAAAATACACATTTTTCTTAATGTCATTTAATCATGTATACAGTTTATCAGGTTTACTAGTGGTAAAGCTGCCTGTCAATGCAGGAGACGTAAGAGACGTTGGTTCAGTCTCTGGGTTGGGAAGGTTCCCTGAAGGAGGGCATGGCAGCCCATTCCAGTATTCTTGCCTGGATAATCCCATGGACAGAAGAGCCTGGTGGGCTTCAGTCCGTGAGGTTGCAAAGAGTTGGACATGGCTGAAGTGACTTAGCATGCACACACACACAGTATATCAGATATACTATAATGAAATGCTATTCTCTCAAAACTTACTTTGACTCTTCTCACCTTGACATTCTGAGAAATCTATCTTTCAAAATTTGAGTTAAGAAAAAAAATACAAACCATGAAAAATAATTTTTAAATGAAGAACAGAGTAAAATAATTTTCAGGCAAATTTTATTAGAAACACTAAGGTATGTTTATGTGACCAAGAAGTTTGCAAGCCCCAAATCTTAGTTCTCCCATCATTTTCTGTGAACAAAACTGTTTGCACTGAAAATAACTGAAGAAGTTGGGTGATGGGCTTCACTAGCTTCATATGTTGCCAAACCTGCATGTGCCAGATACATGTGGATCCTAAGTAACTGCTCAATGTCTGCCTGTTAAATGGTCTCACAGATGAACAATGATACTGGTACCTCAGCTTCCTGGGTCAAAGAAACAAACACACGTAGCCTTGAAGTAGGTGGCCACCATGGTGGCATGATTGAAGAGGAGTTACAGAGGCCTGAACATTCAACAAATCCTTCTCTCATTGTTTCCCGGGATGCCTGATATTCATTATTGGAAACTAGATAATTTGATTTTGAAACTTGTTGATCTTACGGAGTTTTCTCTTACAATATAGCCACTGTTGAGAGGGGCAATATCTTGTCCTTCCTTTTTCTAAGATTTTTTTCATGTGGACCATTTTTAAAGTCTTTATTGAATTTGTTACAATATTCCTTTTGTTTTATGTTTTTTTTTCCTTGTTTTTGTCTTTTTGGCTGTGAGGCATGTGGGATCTTAGTTCCCTGACCAGGAATTGAACCCTCACCCCTCTGCACTGGAAGGGGAAGTCTTAAGGGGGTTCCCTTAAGTCTTTTTAAAAAATCAAACTTTAATGGAGATGCATTTAAAAGCAAATCCCTAGGAAATATCATTTTTATTTATTAAATAAATATATATTGATAGCCTACTACAAACTTGAGTTACAATAGAAAGTAAAATAAAGTCTTGCTATTAAAGGCACTCAGTCTAGGAGGGTTTAATGATGGTGTGCAGATGGAGGAACACTGGATGGAAGGAGCGTGGAACTGAATGTGGAAACCACTTGATGGCATTTTCCTTTTCTTTATTTAACACATTTTTTACAACCACCTTCCAAGTGTTGAACTTTTCCTCTTTCCCCCAACCCCTACCACAAACCACACAGTCATTCAAGAAAATGTTTATTAAACATCTACTAGAATGCAGAGATGACAGTTATACAAAGGACTACCAACTTTTTTGTTAGTGACCCAGAGTAAGAAAAATATGTTACATCTAAGACCTGAAATGTACATAAATAAATCTTTAAAGGGAAAAAGATAGATATTGAAACATACATATAAGTAGATTTATAGAACAAAAGATTCACACAAAAAAATACCTTAGCTTCTGTGTGAAGCAAATTCTCGTATTTTCTATTCAATTTTAAAAAGAAAATTCTGACTTTACAACTAATGCAGAGTTTAACAAAACCATTATTATAGCTCAACCCTGTTTCCCTTTCTTATAAATCTTTGCTTATCCCAGCTGGGTCTATCATAATATAGTCAACAGATATTGGTGATTTGACTTAGTTCACAAATTATTGAATATAAACTTTCTACACCAAATATCTGTTTTACTAATCATGCTTCATTTAGCTAATCAGGCCCAGAGAAATGATATGGTAGCCCAGAATTAGTCAGTGGCTTTTTTATTTTCTCCTATGACAGCATAGGGAAGTAGAGTCAGAGAGTTAGGATTTGGGAAGGTGGGCCTTTTTCAAGGCCTGACTTTGACATTCTTGGTATGTAGTCAAGAGCAGGGCACTCATTCAGCTGGTTCTTCATTGCCTTTACCTATAGACCATGGAATTTCACAGGTAGAGAGCCCATGTGAAACTGTCTAACCTAAGAGGTTCAGAGAGAATGAACACAGTTTGAACAAAGACTTCATAATAAAGAGTTTTGCCAATTTCAAAGCCCTACAAATGCTAGTTAATACCATGTGTTTGATTTATGCCCCACTCTCTGTCTAAGCCCTTTGTTCCTAATCCCTTGCACCTGCCTCGCTCTCCCACTCTGTTCCCTGATGACATGCTGAGTTCTTTATCATGTTACCTCCTGGACCTCACCTCCTATCACTCTTCTTTTAGGTCATTTCTTTCCCATCACATTCCAAGGTGTGTCTGCCTCAGGGCCTTTGCACTGCCAGTTCTCTGTCTGAAGCCTTTTCTCACATAGCTTATTCCCTAACTTCCTTCAGTTCTTGGGTCAAATGTCACTTTCTCACAGATGCCCTCCCTCATTGCTGTATTTAAAATTATATACCTCCCCCACATTAGTATTCTCAGTCTCTCATCATTGTTCTATTTTTCACCCATAGCCCTTAACACCATCTAATATACAAAGTAATTGTCTTATTTATTGTCACCCTTCTCCTCAAATGTACATTGTACAAAGGCAGGATTTTTTTTTCTATTTTGTTCACTGCTATATGCCAACACTTAAAACAGAGTGAGTAAATATCATGCTAGATATTCAGTAAATATTGCCTGATATTTGCCAGTGTTTGCCTGATATTTGCCTGAATTTGCCTGATACTGTCAGTGTTAAATGAGTGGTGAATCCCATGCTCTCCATTTTGATAGAACAAAACTCCTTATACAGTTGAACTCTGATTAGATTGCAAAGAATAAAGGTCCAGCTGATATTTATACTGAAGCAGGAAAAATACCCTCATGAGAAGGAAAGCAATAAGAAAGCTTACTCTTTCAATAATATCTAAATTTGGAACAGTCTGATTTTTTTTTTCCTAGTGAGTTTTCATAGTAAACCACAGCTCTGTCTGATCAGGGTCAATCTCAAAAGGTCTCTGACTCATCCTGCAGCCATCTCTGCCAATCACTTCTCAACTTGTGTGCAAAATTTATCTTCCTCTGGTAGAAAGATGATTTTTACACTTCAATAATATTTTCTTTTGAAAATGACTCCATATCTCTTTTGAGATTAGAAGAGAGAAATTTTTAGAAGTCATCTATACTTTGTATTTGTTTGGTGACTTTCATTCAAGGCTTTTTATTCTTCACAAATATTCATCTTCAGACTCTCACCTCAATTAGGACAGCAACGCGATAGGCAGTTTTCCTAGGATTTCTGATGTAGGTTATTTAAGGGTATCAGCTGCTAGAAGTGTGCAGCAAGGAGATCATAGTGCCTTAAGGACTGAGCTCCACTTTAATCCTGGAAAACCTGGCCTGCAGATCAAATTCTGATGAAGAGACTGAAGTGCAGTGAATTTAAAAACAGGATCTAAAGCCTGCAGGATCCAGTGACTTGGCCAACAGTGAGCAGCAGTGCTGCACCCACAGTCCTGCTTGGAGATAGGAACTTTGGAGAAAAGCGGGGCTAGACTCACTCATGCAATCTGCAGTTTCCTCATCCATTAGAGAAGAGGCTTGATGGCACCAAATGCTCAAGACTCATAGTGTCAGCAGTCCTGTGATTTCCAACCAGTCAATGGTCAGTTTTCTACTTAGCTATCCTAAACTTTTTAAAGCTTAATTTGTCCAAAAATGAAATCATCTTACCGCCAAAAGCACTTATTTTTTCTTCTGATTTGGCAGTCTTTGAACTCAATTTAAACCCTCAAATGAATTTTGACTCAATCCTTTCCTCTAGTGTTTCTCAAACTGAAATGTGCATACGAACCAGCTAGCACACTTGTGGCCAGTGTGCACATACATGCTCAGTTGCGTCCACCTCTCTGCAGCTCCATGGGCAGAGCAATGCCTGGCTCCTCCATCCATGGGATTCTCAAAGCAAGAATACTGGAGTGGGTTGCCATTTCCTTCTCCAGTGGATCTTCCTGAGCCAGGGATTAGAACTCATGTCTCCTGCATCAGAGGGCAATTTCTTTACCACTGAGCCACCTGGGAAGCCAAATCAGCTAGAGATTTTGTTTAAAATGTTGGCTCTGATTCTATGAATCTAAAGGACAGTTGAGATTCTGCATGTCTGACAAGTTACCAAGAGATGAGATAATACTGGTCTTTAAGACTTAGGGCAGCAATAGACGAATCCAGCCCATTTCAGCCCCACTTCTGCCCCACCACGTCCAATCTACTGCCAAGTAACTTGTATTTTTCCCACGAGGCAAAATCTCTAGGTTCTTTTCCTTTTTCGCTCTCACTGCGCACCCCTGCCTACCTCCTTACCACTTCCCACCCCACTCAGGTTTTATGCCTTGAAACTTTGATAGCTAAACTGTGAGAATCTGTGTGTTAGTGGATTATAAAATCAAGTTGTGGGGTAGTGAGTATTTAAATATATAGAATAAAATCAAACAGAAAAGAGTTATATCACATAATAAAGTTACGTGTTATCATGTAAAAATATTTATAACTTGGCCATGACACAAAATGTGTATCTCATTATGGGTAGAGGTTTAAAGAAAAAGCTTGAAGAGCAGGATCTTATAGAGATTTCTAGGTCTTACTCCATACCTATCCAGCATGCAACAAACAGCTTATCTCTCCAAACCTCTCCTGTGTCCATCTAGTCCTGTCTTTGAAAATCTTCAGTGTTGCTTCATCATCCAAAGTTCAGATTTGTTAGCCTGGACTTTGAGGCTCTCCTCTACCTGGCCTCTTGCAGCTTTCGAGCCTGATTTCCTACTCCTCTCTGCCAGGGACCAACCCTCTGACGGTCCGGGGTCCCCTCACCTTTTATCCCCCAAGCACGCCTGCCATGTTCTCCCCTGTGTAGATGAGGTCCCAGCTGCCTGGACTGCCCTTTCCTCTGTCTCTCCCACTGAAATCACAACCATCCTTCAAGCAATCGCCTCCATCAGCGATTGTCCCCCGGAAGTGGTATCTTGTCACCGACCTCTTCTCACACAGAAAGCACTCACTCTTCCTGCCTAATTTTGTGGACATTCTTATGTCCTTCCTTTCACATCTGGATGTAAATTCCGTTGAGAGTTGGAGCCATGGTTTGTATAATTATTGCTTGGTGAGCTTGCTTTTCTTATTTAGCTTCTCTGTGCCTCAGTTAAAAACTAGAAAATGATTTACCTCCTAGGGTCATTCATTGTGAGGATTAAATGAATAACACTTGTAAAGTATTTGGTAGAGTGCCTGGTATCCAGTAAATGCACAATAAATTCTCAATGTTATTATCGTTATTCCATCAGCATAGTGCCTATCATGAACCAGTACCCCCAAAATAGATGTCTGTAAGTGGATAAATTAACCCATATTATAAGGATTCCTCTAAAAGTTTCTATTTCTGCTGTGAAGTTCTCTGCTTCCTTCAATTCATCTGCTTCTGGGAACTGCATCCTTACTGGGGCCATTTAAAGATTTAGTGGGAAGGTTCACAATTAGCAGGCAGAATGTGAGCAGCAACTTTTGCCAGACCCAAGTAATGTCCCTCAAGCTGCTCCCAGAGAACAAGTCCACAGCCAGACAAGAAGGCAGAGGGGGCAGGGCTGGGTCACCCTCTGCGCTCACACCCTCCCCAACCATAGCCTCCCCTCTCCCTTCCTCACAAGCTGACTGCTCCTCTCTGCCCAACTCTTCACCTCTCAGAACTTCACCATTTCCTTTTCCCAATTGTCTTCTCTTCCCTATTTGCAAATCTCTCCTTTTAAAATTCTTTTCCTTTTCCCTATCTAAAAATATATATATATTTTTTTAATGAGAGGAGGCAAGGGGAAAGCCCGTGACTCTCGGGGGAACACTCTCACTCCATGTCCCACCCACAGCCAGGCACCAAGAGAGTTGGGTGTGCTTGCGTCCTGAGTCACCATCCTCAGGGTGGATTGAACAAGTTACTGAATGGCATTCATACACCAACCTCCCCCGTGAAAGATCTTTTTCAAAGTTTTGTGTAAACAAAGCAAAATTCAAGCTGGCAGCTACAACAGAAATAACAGGCAGCTGCGATTCTGCAGGATTTTTCAACTTTTGAAAGGAAAGAAACAGTTTGTGCCAACGTAGCTAAGGCCATCTAGAATGTAAGCATCTGATAATGTCAGTTATCTACTGGGACTTCAATCAGGAGAGGTGTCTCCTTTGCTTTTTATTTCGTTTGCTTTAGAGTTTCTTCTGCGTGGAGGAGTGACGTGTCAGTTGAGCGCTTTGCCTCTGAAAGCAGAGATTGGCCCCAGGCTTAGCATCAGTGCTACGGTTGCTCTTAATAATTCTCCTGTTTTGTTGTACTATTTATGCTGGCTCAACCTCCATAGGGTCGCTTGGAAACTTTCCTCTTGCAGAATCAAGCCCAACCTCGTTTGACTACAGATGGTTCTGTTTTTATCCATGGGAGTTTAATGGGATGGTGATGCCAAATCTGGAATTTCAGGCTTAGCTACAATGAGAAGTTTTGTGTGAGTGTATGTATGTGTGCTTCCCCCCTCACTCTCAAATTCTCTAAATCCAATATTCAAAATAGAATATGCTAGGAAAATGAAAAACTGCTTCTCAAAACAATAAATATACCAGACCTGGAGCTACAAAAAGTAACATCCCACAAAATCATTTTGGTAAAAGCTCTGATTTTTTTTCTCCTTAAATTTGTTGATACTATACACACAGTGAAGTTTATTTCTCTGTCAAAACCCTAAATTGTAACTATTTTTAGTCCTGTCCTCATTCTATATCTTATTTCGGGCACATCTCTTTCTGGTTTTCTCTCTCAACCCCAAAACATTCCTTGCACAGGGACAAATTATTTATGGGTTGGGAATAAGCAATTTCTGGATTCAGTGGCCACAAAGGTCTCCATCAGACCTAGTGCCAAATCGAAGATGAGTCCAGAATTTTTCCCCACTATCTGTTACTCAATTCTGATGACACCATTCCCTCCTTTGTTGAACTATTTTCATTCTGCATTTGGGAACTTTTTATTCAACGGAGACTGTTAAAAAAATCTCTTAAAAGTTGGACACCACTGCCCCTAGAACCATAAATGCCCCATCATGCATTAATTTTTATTACTTGAAAAATAGAGATCATGGATTTGTATCCCACCAGCAGGGTAAGCCTGCAAAATCTCTGAAGAAAGCAAACAGTAAAAGATATGCTGCTACTGGGAGGGTTTGTCCAGGTGGGTGTGGGTAGGTTCGGGGGTGGGGTGGGGAGGAGGTTTTGTGACACATTTCCATTCCAGTTCCTCCTGTTTGTAATTTTAGCAATTTGTGAGAGAGATGAACAATAGACAGTTAACCAAAATAAAACATATGGCAAGGGTTATAAAGTCAAGCTTTTATTGCAGTGACATCTTACAGTAGTAAAGGTTATAATTGTGATGGCAATGGCAAGATAGAAAATTTAAAAATGAGCCTGTGTGAATCATGTCTTTGTGACACTGATGACTTCTTTTCCTCATTGGCATCACTGATGAGGAGGCAATCAAAGCCATAAACCCATTTAGCTATCTGCAATCCTTCCAGTTCATGATAAAGTTGTCAAACTGTGAAGCAGATTGAACTCTTTCCAGAGGTACCTTCTCTCATGGATGTTGTTTTACCATGTTCCTTTTCCAGGCCATCACAACTGGTATCCTCCTACTGTTGGCTCACAAAGAGTGGACACAGAGATACCTGGTAAATATATAGATAGATGTCAAGTAAAGTGGTAGAGTAAGTTTGAAGGTTAAATCTCTACTAGTTCAGGGTAGAACACAAAGAATGTGATTTCTGATTAAAACTGAATTTTGTCTAATTTATGCCTTATTATGATGCATTTCAATAAAACACTGTTTTAAATGACTAATTTTTATCTGATACCTGCTCCAAGCATTTTCTACAAGTTACTGTGATTATGGCATTTAAGTATTGCATTAATAGTTTGGGAAGAACAGAACCTGTGTTAGTCTTCCTGAATTACATTTTGCAAAAATGGATCTATAGTCTTGTCTGTTTTAATGATTTATTTTCAAGTTCTCAATTCCTGTTTGGGATCTCTTTCCAATCTCTCTACTGCCTCTCCCATAAAAAGGATACAAAGTCTATTTCTTGCATTTCAACAGTATAGAGTCAAGTACAGAATGACTACTTTGAGCAGATTATAGCTCCTCTTCCCATGGCCACAGCAGGGCTTCTGAAACTTTATGTGTGAGTTACCTGGGGATCTGGTTAAAATGCAGATTCTGACTCAGAAGATCTGCAAGAGACTGAGATTCTCCATTTCTAATAAGCTCCCAGAGGGTGTCAGTTCTGGACCATGGACCCCACCCTGAATAACCAAGTCCTAGAATAAGGCAGAGATTCTGTTCACTCATTTCTGTTTTTCCCACCCTAGACTGGTTCTCAACATGTGATAGGAGATAAATAAATGTTTCTTGAATGGACTTGATTTCATTTTTGCCCCAGTGGGTTGCTATGTTATTCTCCTGTATTGAAGGGTCAAGAGGAAAACAAAAGGACCTAAAGAGGCGGCTGGAACCCATTTCTCCTTCATTTCCCAGTAGAAAAGATTAATAGGCAGCCTCTCTTTTTCCCTCGTGTTGCTAAGAAGCTTCTAAAAAATTGAACTCCCTAAGTAATAATCTGTTTATGTTTTATTTTCAGTGGGAAGCTAGTTTCACCTGTGTGATTCTGAGTATGATGGGATGCCCACTTCATTTTACAGTAGCCTTGGTTTCTGCTCTCCTCGGCCCGTATTGCTTCTACTCACTTTCAGGGATTGCAGGGATCAGTTACCTTGGTTATGCAGTTGCTTTTCCTTTTCCGTATGCAAAATTCCCATCAGTCTGTGTGGACCCGCCACACTATGAAGAGTACCACCTGACACTGCAAGCCCTCGACCTGTGCCTGAGCTTTGCCATGTTCTGTGTGTCCCTGATGGCCTTCATCACACTTTCTGCAAGACTTATCCAGAATGGACATGTCAATGTAAGTTTCCAGAATAGGGCAGACACTTCTTGTGCCATTTTAAATGCTAACATGGAAAGTTTGGTATATTAATACTTGATCTGTCTCTCTTACTTACCTGTGTATCTTGTATAACCAAAATTTCCCCCCTCTTTCTACTTCTACCCCAGCCAAGAGACTGATTTACATCAACATCAGATTCGGCTTTCTTTTTCCAAAAGGGCTGATAAAAATATTAATGATATGATAATAGAAATATAAACTGAATATTTAGTATGTGTCCATTTCACAGATAGTAAATGGAGGCTAAAGCATTTACATGACTTGCCCAGCTTATCACACACCTTAGTGGATAGTAAGACCAGATTCAGACCTCAGAGCTATTTCTCTTCATTAGGCCAGATTTACCCTGGGCTCCTTCATCACCCACCCTGTATCCTCTGCTCCTCTGCCAGACCTTTAAGATGCAAGGCTTTGGCTTCCTTGAGAGTTAGAGTGGGTTGTTTGGAAGAACAGCACAAGGGACTTCTGGTTCAAAATTCCTGTGGTTGACACTTGGTCCCTCTTTTGTAGGTTGAACAGCCTATCCCTAAAGAGATATTTCCCACTACAGACTCTTACACTGACCTTATGATTCAAGTTAGGATTATATCAGGGTCAAGTAAACTTGGATTATGTTAGCCAATTATTTTCCAGTTTCATCCTATCAACACCAACCAGTAAAGCTGGAAGACAAGAATTTGGCACTCTTGATGCCTTTTGTGGTCAGTCTTGTCCTCTTCAACTTCTTCATAAATCTGCAAAGGAAATCCTGTACATTCTTAGGAACAGAGTTGATTTTACAAGCAACTCTCTGAGAAACAAGGCAAGCAGACCAAAATCACCACCCCCACTGTACTGCCGGAGAAGTTTAGTATTTGAGATCCCTCCCTTGTGGTGAATGACCTAACTTTCTAGAGTCATTTGTTAAAAGGAACATATGCCTAGGAGAACCACCCATTAAAGAGTTGACAGTCATAACCCCTTCACATGGGTGGCTAATCAGACATCTGGCTATCATTTTAGGCATAACCCCCACAACATTGAGGTTTAACCTGGGGTGGAGGATAGGGAGAAAAGAATGAAAAAAATATATGCAGAGCTTGGTAAGCCAGCCCCATGTAAACTCAACAGTGAGACCACCTAAAGTGCCTGGAGAGAGAGAAAATTAATTGAAAGCAGAGAAAGAGTCTGTGACTTCACAGATTTTTGCCTTTGCCCATCTTGCTCAGAACAGTTCCTAGTCTGAGTTTAGGACCCAGTAGAACTGCAACATGTTACTCAAAGGGGTTCAATGGTATCAGAATCACCCAGGGTTCTTGTGAAACTAGGTTTCAAAATCCTTTCCAGGTCCGTTCACACTACATCAGAAATTCTGGGGTTGGAGGCAGGGAATGTGCATTTTTAACACATGTCCCAAGAGATTCTGATGAAAATTCTCTTCCTAGCACAAGCTTTACTTAATATCACTTCTGAACAGAATTTCAGTTATACAATTTACATAAAATGGAGTACTAGTGTGGTTGAGGGTTCTAGATAACTTTAATAAGCCTGTCTCTGGTGAATGTTCTTGGATGACTTGATGCCACTTAATCTGTAGGGGCGGAAAATCACATTTCATTAGCAAGGATGAGCGGCTGACATAATGGGATATGATGTTCTGTATTAATAAATACACCACTGTTGCCCCTAGCCCAAAAGAAATATGTGCAGCCTGAACAAACCTTTGTTATCAAGCAGAAATCTCAGCTACATTAGGTACAATTTTCAGCAGTAGAATAAATGGATTGTTTATCAAAATTCTAGAAAACAGACAACTTTTTTAGAAGGAAAGGTGGATCATTTGTTGGGATACAGAATTCTACATAGTGACTCTACTTTTAATGAATCTTCATGTAGTTGTGTTGTTAGATTCCCTGCATGCTGAACTGGATAAGTAATATTTTTTAATTTTTATTTAAAACTAATAAACATTGCAAAATATGCTTCTGATTCACACTTTTTCATATAAACAGAAGAACACTGAGAATGCTTTTAAAAGCTTCAAGTGTCTGCCTGAAAATTAAAATTCTCTTGTATAAATATAATACATAGTAGGCAACTTGAAAACTATGAAAAATCATAAAAAATAAAAAGAAGAAAGTGGTGGTTTGAAGGAGGATTTGGGGGAAATTATGGTTGCATTGTACAACAAAATCAAATTTTTTTCAGATCCATACGTAACAGTCAATATTATGATGAAAAATATTCCCTCCTAAGGATTTGTTTCTGTAAGTTCAAAAACATGTTTTCAAAAATGAATCAAGCACCCCCTTAGGAATCACCACATTCATTATTTCTTGCTTCCTGTGCCTTTTCAGTTCAGTAGGACTGAAGTCATCTTGTGTCCCAGTCAGCTCAACTGCTATTAAAAAATGCCGTAGACTGGGTGGCTTAACCAACACATATTTATTTCTCACAGTTCCAGAGACTGGAAGTCAAGATCAAAGTGTTAGCATGGTTGGTTTTTGGTGAGGCCTTCTTCCTGGCTTGTGGATGACTGAGTGCTCACATAGCTTTTCCAGGGCCCAATTCTAGAGAAGAGCAATCTTACTGTCTCCCATTTTTTACAGACATTAATCTCATCATGGGAGCTCCACACTCATGACCTCATGGAAACTTCTCCCAAATGACTTATTGCAAATTACCATCACAGTGTAGAGATTAGGGTCTCAACATATGGATTGGGGAGGGGAGAGACATAAAGAGTTGGTAACATCTTACTGAAGGTCACACAGTGCTGGTGTATGAGCATGCAGTCAATTGGTATCCAACTAAAATCAGAGGAAGAGATGCTTGAAAGAAGTGTGAAGGGTTTGATGATTTTGACAAACACGAAAGCATGGTGTGAGTGCTACAGACTAAATATTCGTGCATGTGCATGCATACTAAGCCACTTCGGTCATGTCTGACTCTTGTGACTGTGGACTCTAGCCTGCCAAGCTCCTCTGTCCAAGGAGTTCTCCAGGCAAGAATACTGGAGTGGGTTGCCATTTCCTTCTCCAATGTTATCACCCCCAAATTCTAAGCCCTAACCCCTACTGTGATGGTATTAAGAGGTGTGGGTCTTTGAGCGGTAATTAGATTTGGATGAGGTCATGACGGTCATCAGATACTCTGTGAAAGGGTTAGTGCCTTATAAGAAAATGAAAAGACCAGTCCTTTTTCTCTCTTCCCCAAAACAGTATACAGCAAGAAGGGGACCATCTACAAACTAGGAAGTGGGCTCCCACCAGACACTGAATCTGTTGACACCTTGATCTTGGAAGTCCAGCTGCCAAAACTGTAACAAATATCTGTGGCTTAAGCCATCCATTATCTGGTTGTATGTTATAGCAGTCCAGGATGACCAAGACAGTGAGTCCTTCCAAATTTGTAGGGCCTCGTGGGAAGGGGTGGAGCTGGGAAAAGACTGAGAGTCCCCTGCTTGCGTGGCTCCATACAATACACTGAAGTGATCCTGTGGGCTTAGCACTCAATGCATGGGGCAAATGAGCACCACATAAAATTTAAGTTGAAAAACTAACATGCAAAACAACCATAGCTGAAATTGTCTACATTCTTGGTTCAGTAAGTAATAAAGTGATGAGAAAGGAAAGAATTGGGATGCCAGACACACTGCAGCTGTCTCCTGCAGCTACTCTGCCCCTCCTCCATGGAATGGAATGGCTTCATTTGTTTTCCTTTCATTATTCATTGTTATGTTTGGGGTTTTTTTTTAATGAAAGGGGGAAAGAAAATATTTTCCCCTTATCATGTGATATGGTTTTTTTTTTTCAATGAATTGAGAAATATTTGCCATAAAAGGTATAGGTAAACCCTTTAAATGCAATTTAAAACATGGGGACAGATTATAAGTGGATGACTTTCCTTTCTTCAAACTAAAGGCAGATTACCAGCAATATACTGGTTCCTAATCTTCCAGCAAACCTACTCAGCAAACCTACCTTAGCAATAGAAACATGCTTTTTTTTTTCATTTATTTTTATTAGTTGGAGGCTAATTACTTCACAACATTGCAGTGGGTTTTGTCATACATTGACATGAATCAGCCATGGAGTTATATGTATTCCGCATCCCGATCCCCCCTCCCACCTCCCTCTCCATCCGAATCCTCTGGGTCTTCCCAGTGCGCCAGGCCCGAGCACTTGTCTTATGCATCCCACCTGAAACAAGTTCATCTATGACTCTATTCTAAACGTCTGAGGTTCCATGCTGGGCTATATAGCAAGGTCTTTCTGGTGCCTCTGGGAACTAATCCCTTTGGGTAGATCCAGTAAAACTGAAGCATGATCGTGCAACTGTAAGAATGCACTGTATTTCTTCCTCATAAATTCTATCATGTGGTCTTCTCAAATTGGCCAGTAGAAAAATCAGAATCTAGAAAAAGAATCACAACTCGGGGCATCACTATTCCTTTTATCTCATAATTTTGTTTGGAATAATAATAGTAGTTACATAAAACCGGGGAATAGAAGAATAACTGTAGCTGCTATTTATGGGGCAGTTACTGTTCATCAGGCACTTTGCTTACTGTATTCCTCACAACACTCCAAAGCTCACTGAACTCATTTCACAGACGAGGATGTCCAAGTATTCATGTCAGATCAGGGTTCTCTCCCAGGGCTTGCAGGGCCTGGAGGCCAGGCTCCTTGCTACTGTATCATACCTCTTAGGTAGTGTATCTCCAGTTTTACATACTCCAAGTGACTTGGCATAATCATGCTTCTCATGGACAATTTTTCTTATGTTATCCACAGAACAAAATTAACTCATATTTTAGAAATGGAAGTATTTTTCCCAGGATATTTTCTTTCTATTTAATCAGTGGGACCATACCAAGGGTGATAGCAACTTACTAAGAGAGGAAATGAGACTAAAGTGTCCATTGTAATGTATTAAAATAAGCTTGATATTTTGTCAAAGAGGGAGCAATAGGTGGGGAGGGGTTAGCAGCCAGAGAACTGCTTTCTGTTGAATTTTACTTTATATATTGTTTTGAGTTCAACATATTTTCCTTTTAACATTCAGTCAGTTGAAACATTTAATAAAAAATACCCTAATAGGCTTTCCCCCTTGTTACTTACTCTCAATCTAAAATATTATTGTGAATACATTTTTAACAAATTTTCAATGTCATAGTTTTCAAAATTAGAAATAGATTTAAAAGAAAGAAGAAATTTTTATTTCATAACAGGGCAGAAACTTAAGTAGAAAGCAGAAGCCTCCATTCCCTATAATCATGTAAATTCAGTTTTCAACAAAGAAAACTCAATTTCTGCTAATGAATATTTCAGAATGACTGTAATGGTGCTAATCTATGAATACAAAGCCATTTAGGATTGCAGCATTGTTGGTTGGACACTTTAAATTTTTTTAATTGGAGGGAATACTTGACAGCTATTATTGGATGCCTGAGACCCCTCTTCAAATGAAAGAAGGGAGAGAAAGAGAGGAAGTAATGAGGGTGAAACATAATGGAGGCTTTGGAAGGTGAGGAACCAATCCAGACATTATGAAACTTCCTCTTCTGACAACTGTACCTTACCTCTCAAGTGTTTCTCTACTCTGTCCTCTTTTCTCTATGCCAACCGTGGGGACCCTGGTTTGGCTCCCGTATTCTATCACTCAGACTTCTTCACTTCCAATCTCTTTCTTAAAAAGTATCGCCCACACAGGTTCTAGAATGAACTCTCAAGTTCAGATCTGTTTGTATCATTCCACTGCTTTCCCCTTCATACTCCTTCACATGACATCATGTGTACTCAGCTCCTCTCTGAGCACGTGAGTTCCTCCAGTTCAGGGACCAAGGTGAGCAAGAAAGGTGAGACTGGGAGTGTGAGAACCAAAAGAGGAAGAGAGAAGCAGGTTGCAACACTAAATGTCATTTTTTATATCCTCTAGCCATAGCTAAAAGCTTACTTAAACCTACAGCAGGAGAATTTTAAATGTAAAGACAATTTACATGTCATGGGGAAATTTACTATGGTCATGGAATCCAAGAAGAAACTCTAGAAACAAATACAATAGAAAAGTAGATTTGAATTCCCTGTTGCACTCCATGGGGTCACGAAGAGTCGGAGCCCATGCTCCCCAACCAAGGAGGGGTGGTTTACTGAAGAACTGCTTTCAATATTAGGCTACACACAGAATCTGATATATACTGTTCAAGTCAAACAGTTTGAAGGGTAATGGCTTCTTCTATCATCAACTATTTGAGTAGCCTTGAACAAATCAATATTGAACCTCTTTGAGCCTAAGTTTCCTTGTTGGTAAAATGGAGATAATACCTACTTCACATGTTGCAAATTGAAATGATATAATTACTATTAAGAGCCTTACACCGAGCATGGTATTTGTCAAGTCCTCACATGTTTGCTCTCTTCGCTTCGATTCTAATCAAATTTAAATTCTTGGCTCAGTCAAGATTTCAGAACATGCCCTTTAGCCTTCCGTAATTTTCAAAAAAACCCAAACCAGACAAAACAGCAAATGACCAAAAGAGACAATGAACAGAGAGAGTCCCCACTCCATAGACAACCCCTGCCCACAAAAGTAATGGTTCTTCCAGACTGTTTCATGTGTATGCCAGATATTTTATGACACATATATTTCTTTTTTTATATTTCTCTGCCATCCCCTTCCACCAATATCACCAATTTTGTTCTCTGTAGTGATTCCTCTTAAATCCTTAAGTGGTACCATGACGCTGTTACTTGAATCACTCTTCACTAGGTTCCTGTGACATAAAAAAGGCTAAATTAAATGTCAGAAATGACACTCTATTTTCTTTGATAAATTGTAGAAATAAACAGTATTGTATTTTTTTCTTCCTAGGGTCAAAAGAATGGACAATAAATTTGAAGCAATGTTCCTCTTAAATTTGTCATATTTGTGACCATTATTTTGAAATATTTCTAAAATTATTTTGATCTTTAAACTTTTTTCCTCCATGTTCTTATAACATAAAAATTGAAATAATTGTACATTTTAGTCCTTTTGATAGTTAACCTTTTTTCTGATTTATATGCTATGATACAAAAATTGAAATTATATCATTGTTGTCATAGAATTTTAAAATTTGAAATAGAAATGGAATAAATGTGAATAACTGTTTTAAGTTCCTCCTGTTCTTTGTGTGATGTTCCGTTAAACTGTAATTTCATATTATCCAAATTAAGGAAATGCTTTTCAGCCTTTCTTCATTGCCATTATGGAAGTGATTCTAAATCTTCAAAGCACAATTGAATTGTGGGCATAATGAGAAAGGTCTCCTGCAGGGGGACTATGGCCCTCCCTCCTGACCTCTCTGTAGCTGGTCTTTGGCACTTAAGACAAACAGTTTAATTAATTAGAAAGGACTTTAGTTGGGCTTCTCTAGTGGCTCAGACAGTAAAGAATCTGCCTGCAACGTGGGAGACCAGGGTTTGATCGCTGGGTCAGGAAGATTCCCTGGAGAGGGGAATGGCTACCCACTCCAGTATTCTTGGCTGGAGAATTCTATGGACAGAAGAGCCTAATGGGCTACAGTCCATGAGGTCACAAAGAGTTGGAAACAACTCAGCAACTAACACTTTTAGTAGAGGCACTTGTAGACCAAATTTTCATTGACTATCCAAGATCCACATGCTCCTGACACCTCAGCCATTTCCAAGAGGCATCCTCCATCAGCTATTGAACGACTCTAAATGTAGAGGTCTTTCTTGTCTTGGCTGGAGACCTGCTTTTCATAATCTCTATGTCTTGGTCTTGCATCTGTAGCCCTTGAGAGCACAGTTCAGTGGTTCTCAAATGTGGTTCCAAGATCTGCAATATCAGCTGGGAATGTGTAATAACTGGAGAGTCTGGTGTTGGGTCCCACATTCTGTTTTAGGAAGCCCTCCTCCAGGTGACCCTGCTGCACACTAAAGTTTGAGATGCACTGGTGTAGCATAGCCGAGAATGGATGCAACCTAGGAATGAAAAATACCTGGATTCAGCTCCTGGCCCTCTGTCAATTTAGGCAATAGATTCCATTTCCTCCCTGATCAGATGAAGCTAATGGTCAAGGCTAATCCCCAGACCTGCAGAGAGAATTCAGTGATACTACATGAGTCAAGCACATAGCAGAGAACCTAACACACCCTAAGCACTCAAATTATTTTTTTTAAGTTTTTTTTGTATTTATATTTTTTTAATTGGAGGATAATTGCTTTAGAAAATTGGGTTGGTTTCTGCTGTACAACAAAGTGAACCAGCTATATGTATACATATATCTCCTCCCTTTTGATCCTCCCTCACACCCCTCTAAGATGGTCATGGAGCACCAATCCGAGCTCCCTGGGCTACACAGCCATTCCCTACTAGCTATCTATTTCACACACGGTAAGCTCTCAAAAATAGTGTCAAGTGATACTGGCTTGTTCAACACAGTTATTTCATGCCTTTGAATGTAAGTCTCTAAAAAGTCCATTCTTTTGAGAATGGAGAAGTACAGGAAATTTTCGACCTAACACCATAGACATAACAATGCTAAATACCTTCATTCTACAAATGAAAACGTACCATTCAGAGAGGCTAAGTGACATGTTCAAAGACACACAGCTCAATTGCTGGTGTATGGAAGCCTTTAGGGTGCTTTCCAGTGGAGCTCTTAAATCAACACATATTTATCTGTCACAATGCAGTAATAAGGTATATAGCCCTGGACTGGACTTCAATTTTGTCAGTATGTTATCTGAATTAATTTTAATATTACTTGAGCATTCCCGGCTAGTATTGGGCACCATGGCTACTTATTTGTCTACTTACATTTTGTTTTCCTATTTAGATCCTATTCTGTTCTAAAAGGATTTAAGATGACTTGGGCATTTTTAAGACTGGTGTAAGTATAATTGGACTTCCCAGGTGGCTCAGTGGTAAAGGATCTGCCTGCCAAGCAGGAGACACAGGTTCGATCCCTGGGTCAAGAAGATCCAGTGGAGGAGGAAATGGCAACCCACTTAAGTATTCTTGCCTGGGAAATCCTATGGACAGAGGAGCCTGGCGGCTACAGTCTATGGGGTCACAAAGAGTAGGGCATGACTTAGCAACTAAATAACAACAATTTGGGCATTTTATCAACAGTTGGAGTTCCAGCCCCTATAGCACTAACTGTTGGATCAGTAAATCCAATAGTCACTTCCTGGAACTTGTGCAAGTGGCTATCACCAAAATGTGCACAATTCTGAGGATCCCAAATGGATACATAAGAGAAGTAGGCCAACAGCAAGTGCCTTAGGTTAACTGGAATCCCTTGTATAAACTGTTAATCAGAAACAAAGCAATGTGTCCGGTAATTTCTAGCTCTTGCATGTACAAAGTACTGGGTTTTTTGCTATGCCTTTGCCTGGGAAAACTAAATGGTTAATGCTCATCATCACATGCCCACTCCCAAAAGTTTGCTTTACAGAGTACAAAGAATAAGGCACTTTTACTTTAAACAGCCTGTTCTCAGTTTTGTGGGGCTGTTGATATTACTGGACTAGTGGCAGGCGCCAAGGCGGGAAAATAGGCTGGGTTACTTATAACTCTGAATGTGGACACATCAGCTTGTGGGAAGGAAACTATTTAAAATGGGGCTTGGGGAAAGCAAAAAAAAAAAATCCCCTTTCCCCATATGAGATTCTTCCACAATGTTGTCATGCAATCTTGAAAACCTCCATACAGGAGATCACTCTCATTGGATATATGCAAATTTTCTGAGATCTAGTGGTTTCCTGCCAGGGAAAAACTTACAATAACAGAGCAAGAATGCAATCTGAGCCCTTGCTCTCTGAAACCCTGAAAGAACAGAGTCGTTCTTGACAGGGCAATTTCAACCCTTGACATTCCAGGAAATAGCTTAATAATGTCATTTAGGCTGGGGTTGTAACCAATCCTAAGACACGGAGACACAAATGCAGTATGTAAAATTTTAAATATCAGTTCAGGGACCATTATTCATGTTCACACAGAGTTTAACAGAGAAGACCACCACCACAAAGCCAAAACTAAGCAAGGCTTCCTAATTAAATTTAACATTGTCCCCACTAATTTCACTCAGTATAGGAAAGGTTTCTGCCAAGAAATTACAGACACATCCTAGACTGTTTACTTTCCTAGGTCCTGGGCCCATGCCATACCGAGAATGTAACACCCAAACAAAACCGTATTTCCATCATTAACATATATGCAGAAGTCACCCCCATCCTGGAACCTCAGAGGCCTTAATGAGACATACTGGCCTTTACAGTCAATGTGTTCCATTTTTTTCTGGGTACAGTACAGCTGAAAAGGTTACAAGATTCAGGTTAAAAGTCAGGAAATGGATCAGGGCCCCACACCATGACATCATTTTCTTGCAATGCAATGAAGCAATGACATTTCCTGCAGGGAAAAAGATTAGAGCTGACAAGCAGCCTTTTAGCTACAATGCTTGCAGTGGAAGGTGTCAGGCTTGCCCCACGCCAGCTCCTGCCACCCTGCCTCCTGTTCCTTGGCTAGGGCTTCCCAGAGATCAGTGAAAGTGAGAGAGATCCTGGCCACTTCTATTTAGTGACAGTTCTGATATATTTACGATAAAGGTGTGCTACAAAACTTGAATTTTTTAGTTGTGACAGCATTTGATACTTTAGGCAAAAAGAATGTAATTTTGCCACTTGCAAAATGATTTACAGATTTGTTTTAAAACTGGCATATAGGCAAGAGCCACCAAGGGTGACTGTGCAGGTTGGCCAGAGGCAGAGCGGGACTCAAATCTGGCTCACTCTCTTGACTATCAAACCATGGTTGCTGGTGAGGGGCTTGGATCTCCCTTTTTTGGATTCACACAAGCATCTCACAACCAGCGATAGATGTTCTGGTAGTGAACAGGACACAGTGTGAAAGAGAGTGATAAGCCAGTCTTTTGCTTTCAATCTTCAAATTCACACTTCGAGAGACAGCCTTGAAGATGTTATATCTACAGTTACAGAAACACCCATAACATCTTCAAAGATATCTCTAGAAGTATGCATTGGAAGACCTGCCTAATTGTGAGCTCTGGGCCACATCCCCCTCCTGACTGGGTTACCCAAGCACACTGGGAGTCCTTTAGGGATTTTGAACAGGTGCTTCCAATAAGTCAACACACGCAGTGTGCGGCACCGCGCTTGCTGAGTAGGAGCTCTGAGCTCCAGCTCAGCCTGGCCAGGTGCTCTCGCGTGCAAATTGCATAACTGTAGTGGCCTGACTGTTCCCCACATGGCAGACCCTGCTCTGGGCTCCACATGCAGACAGACCTGCTTAGAGACACGATCGAGACAAGAAGATCTCGGGCCAGTTCCCTGGGACTCCACAATAAATTGCCCTTGCTTCTCCACATGTGGCCTTGTGATTTTTTGGTTCAATAACTGAGTTTCTGCCTTGGACATGGGTTCCGGAGGCTAAGTGCCTGGTGAGTACTGCCTGGGAACAAGTGAACAAGTGCTTATTCCCCTGACTGATGATAACCATGTCCCTCTAGAAACCATAGGTCTACCCCATATACAGTGAAGTGAAGGGTCTAGCCTTATCGTCTTCTGTCATTTTTCTTTTCTTTGTCTCCCTTCTCGGATCCTTCTGGGGAGGTAGTGGAATCTGCCAAGCAAAGACTGCAGATGTGACAGAAAAAAAACAAAAACAAAAAACCCAGATTCCTGATGCTTCTTTTGTCCATTTCAGCACAGATTAATAACACTAACTCACTTGCATGTCAGTGGAGGAGAGTGAGCAGGCAAGTTTCTGTTACCAAAATAGCAAACACTTCTGATTTCAGAAATGAAAAGTCCTAGAAGTAGGATGAAGTTACACATTGGAAACAATGTTTCTAGATATTATGT